ACTATGTGTATGTCCTTTCTATTAGATGCAATTTCTAAAAAAGTCTATAAAATTTTGTCTCTTAAGCCAATTAAAGATTAATAGTTTCTTATAATCTATTGTTTGCAGATGTAGTCTGTCTAATATATTGTCTACTATATAATTGAAATCTCTAAGTATAACTATTTCTGTATGCTTTTTATTGTTCGTTACTATTTTCACAAGTTTTTGCAATATTTTTTTATTGATTGCTTTGTTATTTAGTAAAATATATATTCCTATTACTATCAGTACTAGTTGTTTGAAGTATAGCTTTACTTCTATTATATATTCGCTATGTCTTTTAACTGGTTTAATATGTTTTTCTTAAGTTTTATCTATTAGAATCCCAATATCTAATTCTTTCTTCTTGTTCATTACTGCACTAGTCAGTAACTTTTAAATCTTGTATTAAGGTTATAAATCAAAATTTTCACTTCTTTTTCTACAATGTTTGTTTCTGTTATTTACAAAAATACTATCTCTTCTTCCTTTGCCTAGCCTAACAGATTTTTTAGTTTCCAACCTCTGGTCTTGAGTTTATTAATATTATGCCATGCAATTTTTATTTCTTTATTTTCATTTTTCCATTTTTCTTTTAACTGCTTATATTTTGTTTTTGCATTTTTTTTTTTTTTTTTTTTTTTTTCTTCTTTTGAATTAGAGGATCTTTCTTTGTTTCTTTTTTCAAAAGTTCTTTTTTCGTTATGCAGAAAATCTTCAATCTCCTTATTCATATTTATAAGTTCAATTAGAGTGCCCTTAGGAGCAGTTAGCCAGGCCTTTTTTTATACCTAATGGAGTGTCCTTTAGTTGATTTAGTCTATCCAGGATTTGATCTAAGACTTCTTTTATCTGTCTTGTTTTCATATATACTTGTGTGTTTAGTTTTATTTTTTTTTAACTATGTTTTTATTATTTTTTTCTGCATTCATGTTTTTGATTCCTAACCATTCTTCTATGTTTTGTAACTGAGGATTACTTTCTATTTTAATGTATCTTCTGTTTGGAACCTGTTTCTTTCTGTTTTAGCTTCTCTTGTCAGTAGTGTTTTTGTCTTCTAACCACTTTTCTGCATCTTGTATTTAAGGACCACTTCTTATTTTTATATATCTTCTGTTCTAAATTTGGTTAATTCTTTTCCAGCTTTTTTCTTTTCTTCTTTTAATATTTTTTTTTTTTTTATTTCTTTTCTTCTTTTGTTTAGCCAAGATACTTGAAAATTGTTATATCTGATTGGTTTTAACTAGGTTGCTTTCATTTTTTTTTCTGATACAAATATAATTATCACTGTTCTTCTTTAATTTCCATTTCTGTTTAGTGGGATGTATACTGATTTTGCATCTTTGCTTTTTAGGCAGCATAATAGTAATACTTCTGAAGCATTGCTTGGCAGCTTTGTTATTTTTGCTATATACTGACTTTGTCTTTGTCTTGCTTCATAATTTTTTTCACCTTTTGTTACTCTTATCAGTTTGTTACTATTAACTGGTACAGACCATGATGTGTTTTCTTTTTCTGATTTTTCTATTTGGACTATTGCAAGAGCCTTGTATTTGGATCTCTTGATTCTTGTTATATGTGCTTTTTTGAACCTTCTGCACATATATTCAATCTCTTTCTTGTTTATATCTGTTAGCAGATCTCAGATTATTATATATTTGTGTTTTTGTATTTTCTTTTTCTCAATATCTATTTGATCTTCAGTCAGTTCTTTTTTTCTTCTTGTTACTTATATTTCTTTTTCTCAAGTTTTAATGTATTGTTTTTTTTCTTCTAATATTCTTTAACATATATATATTTTTTTTTCTTCTTGTTTATTCTTTTTTCTTCTGCAATTATTCTGTACTAATTATTTTCTTTTTTGTTGATTCTTTGTATTATCTCACTTCTGCTATACTCACAGTTGAAGTCTATCTCTATTTATAGATTTTTTCTTTTAAAGACTTCTTCAATATTTTTAATATACTTATTGTTTTTTAGTAACTATCTGATAAAGTTTATACATTCTTCTTTGGTCCTTCTAGGTATATTATATGCTGGTATGTTTGCAAATAGGCTGTTGTTTTGATTGCAGTCTCTTTTGATATATGCTCATATGCTTTCTTCAAGTGATATTCTTACTATATTAATTTCTTTTTTGATTTTTTGACTTTTTTCTTATTTTTTCTTTCTTTTTCTTCTATCATTGATCTTTGTTTTAATTCTTTTTCATTCATTTCTATATCTTTCTGTTCTTGTTCTCTTTTCTGTTCTTCATCTTTTTCTCCATAGATAGATAATTCAGCTTCTATTTAGCTATCATTTGTTTGTCTTATCTTTATACTTATTTTAGTTTTTGTAATTTTAATATTTGTTTATAGACTTTTGTAAACATTTTTGTCCTCTTCTTTCTTTTTTTTTGTCTCTATTTTTGGCTCTTCTTACCTTTTCTTCATCTCAATTGTTTGTTGTTGTTCTTCTTTCTTTTTTATATTTCTTCTATCTTGATATTGTTTTACAAAATCTAGCTTCTTCTCAGATTGCTTTCTTTTTGCTTTTTCTAGTATTGCTTTTGTTATTTGCAGAAGTGTTACTTTATTTGGATCTTGTCTTGTAGGTACTACAACAATATTATCTTCTTTACTAGGTATTGCATATGTCTTGCTTGCTTTATTAAAGAAGATTTTATTATATATACTATTCATCACTTCATATACTCTTCTTATAAAGATTATATTGAGACTTCCTCTGTATTCTTCTGACAGACTTCTGTTCATATTATACAATTATTTTTTATATGCTTCTATGTTCTTTATTCATAATTTTTAAATAAATTTCCGACTTTTTAGTTTATTAATTTTTTATGCTCAATAATATATTATATGTTTGCATCTAAGTCTTATATAATACTTATTTGTTATATTCTTTTATATATATATATAACATTACACTTCATATAGATGCTCTAAGTTTTCAATATCAGGTAAATTCAATTTGATATATCTAAATTATAAATATTTAAATCCAACTATATAATCAATAAAAAATATTTTTTTTTTACTTTTACTAAAGCCATGGTTATAACAAAAGATAGCTAATATAACACAAATATAATTTTCAAAATTTGTTATCTTTAGAATTTGAACCTTAGATTTGCCATTTGAGGATTAACAATCTGTTTACTTTACTAGGTTGTCACATCTTTCAATAAGTTTGTTTTGCTATATAGAATATAAAATATAAATTTGCACTTAATTTTAAACTTTAGTAATCTTTTATTTAGTCTAAATCGGACTTGAGTTTATTAGATTCAGATCCAAAACTAGCTTTGGATCTAAATTAAATTTTCAGATCAGATCTGAATTTATAAAAAATATCTGCCTAATCTGATTTATGTAAAACACTATTAATGAAATCATAATCCACTTATTAGCCTATAAGTAGAAGTTTGTATAATTGACTAATAATTTGATTTAATTTTAAATCATTTATACAGTTTAGAGTACTTTTTAAAAAAATAAAAACTAATCACAGTAAAATAAAAAAAGCTTTTATTAGAGCTGTAAGGCTCTATAACCAAAAATAAGATCTAATTTTCGTCTATTCAAAAAAGTTAGTACAGTTAATAACTTTTCAAACCCTGATAAAAACAACTTATTATTAAGCTAATTTTTTAAACAGACAAAAATTAAATTTTATTTTTGACTATAAAATCCTACTTTATTGTGGTTGGTTTTTGTTTTTTTAAAAAAAGTACTCTAAACTGTATAAATAAGTGCCACCAAAGTGAATTCCTAACATTCTAAAAATAGATTTCTATGGACAACAGAATGCGAAGTTTTAACTAATCTGACTAGAATAATGAATTATACTATTTTTTTGATCATATAGTAGTATCATTTAAAGTCCAATGTCAGGTTTTCACTTGGCAGCACCCAAATAATGTAAAATTAAATTGAATTTATTAGCCAATCAGACGAACTTCTCCCTATGACAGAAATGGTTGGCTTGTATGGCTAAATGTCGACCTAAATCCGATGGATCCGACCCGATCCCCCTGTATGAGTTCTAGGGTAACTTTTTTGTGATTGGTTAATTTTATACAGTTGAATTTATACAGTTTAGAGTACTTTTACGTCTCAACATAGTAAATTTTTTTTTAAAACAATGTAACCGTCGTTCATAATAATACAGAAGACACTTCACAAACGAAACTTTAAGTATCTTGGGTATCTCTGAGATTTACCTTGCCTAGGTATTTTTCACTTAGAGACAGTTTTTCAACTTAGAAAAATAGTAATGAGGTAATAAACACATTATTTATTGTGAAATCGCGTGGTTCTGCGCTTCTTTACTGCTGTACTTTTTATTAATTAAATTTTCAATATATAGGAGTACAAATAAGCGACGCTAATAGTTGTAATATGTTGTTTAAAAGTAAAATTTATGAGATTAAAGAAACGATCTATATACATATTATTAATATTATATTAGAGGGTCATTAAAAATAGTTGAATGAGTTTTTTTAAAGACAAGAATTGCGACGTTTTAGGATAGTAACATTTCATTATATTAATATAAGAAATTTTAAAGCCAAAGGATATTTGAATAAAGAAAAAATCGTTCGAAAGCTTTACTAATTTTTAAATTTTATTGGTTAATTATCACATGTTCGAATGTTTAACCAATTATAAATCACCATTCAATTTCATGTGATTGACCAATCACGAGAAAGTTATCCTATAGAGTTTAAGGTCAGAGATTAAGCAAAAAAAAAGATTAAATTACGTATTCGAATAAGTTTATCGCATAACTGGCTTTTTGAATACTGCGTTCTAGTTCTAGCACCAGTTTATATTCTTGTTTGATATCGCCGTAATTTGTGGTAGAATGTATAATTATGCAATGACATTTAGCATGTAACGATTAATTTATTTACTTGTTTTTTAAGTAGAATTTGGAATTTTTTTATATTTTCATAAATCGAGCGCACGAAAATATTAAGCCCCATCATTAACTAGTTGAAGCTGTAGGTTTCTTTTTCTTTTCAGCTTCAGCTTCTTTTTCTTTTTCAATTTCGCTAACTATAGCCTCGACCTCTTCAACTTCCAAATTCTTTTACGCGACAAAAATGATAATGCATTTAATATTAGTTGCAAGCAAAAAATGATTGACAATGAGTCACGAAATACACGAAATATACACTTACCTTAATAACACTGTCAGCTGTCATTAAAGCTATTTCAATATTCTTAGCTCCAGTTTGTACAACTTCTAACAAAGATTTAACGGTTAATTTGATAGTCTCATCTTTAGTCAAACCCTCTTTGTAATTTTTTTCCAAAAACTCGCGAACGGTCTTCGAGCTTCTACCAATTGCATTAGCCTGATTATAACCAATAATAATAATTTGTAAATAAAAATTTTATTGTACTAAACAGGTAAATTTGCTTATTTAATTACCTTCCATGCTGAATATATACCAGAAGGATCCGTCTGATAGAGTCTAGGCGTTTTATCATTTGCATCGAAACCAATGATGAGTGTTGAGATTCCAAAAGGACGAACACCACCACTTTGTGTATATTTCTACACATAGATTAATTTAAAAAGATCCATATATTGTCAACATAATTCATTTGAAAACAAAATAGAAAGATACCTGTTGGACGCCAGCAATATATCGCGTGATATATTCAATTGTTACAGGATCTTCTACGGTAAGTCTGTGACTTTGACATTCTATCCTAGCTTTATTGACAAGAACTCTGGCGTCAGCATTTAACCCTGGGAGTTAGTTTTGAAAACAATCAATAAGACTAAAATCCAGAAAATTCATGTGGGATTTGAAAAGATCAGTCAAAGAAATTTTTTATACCAGCAAAGGCCATGCATACATGATCATCTAGCATTACAATCTTCCGTACGGTTCTAGGATCTTGCAGCTTGAGGACCGATTTTTTCTCGACACCGAGAACTACACAATCATTACCACGAACTCCTACCTAAATAAATTCAAGACTGTCCTTAAGAGATAATCGTATGAATCCATAATCGAATAGCACTTCATTAACTTAATTTCACAATAAAAAGTTATAGCCAGCTGTTTTGAACAGAGGCTATCGCTCAAAATCACCTACCGCACAAGTACCTTTCCTAACAGCTTCTAATGCATACTCGACTTGAAACAAATGACCATCCGGAGAGAAAACGGTCAAAGCTTTGGGCAAAAAGTATTAGTATTTTAAATATTTCATTTAAAACAAAAAATTAATTTATAAAAAAAAAGTAAAAAGATACCGCGATCATATGAACCAGCCATCGAAATTTGAGAAAGAAAAAATTGCACATACGTACGCACGTATATGCAAAGTATGTAACATGTGATTAAGAGGGTTAGGGTGTAGGTTTATATATCTGTATATAAAATAAAATTCTGCCCCTAAAAACTTTAATGTACACTTACGTAATAACTTCGCGTAAAATGTCACGACTTCATCGTCAAAACCGGTTTGCCAATATTTTTTGACAATCCAGGGGAATAGTCATGCATTTATTACGATCTGCTAATTCAGTAATTGCTTTAAAAAAGCTGTTATCGTTCTAATTACAAGACTCATCAAGAAACTATGGAAGTCGACACCTTGTCAATAATTCTACTTTTTTTGATAGTTTTTTTCACGTACCTATCAATCCGTGAGGCACCAAATTCTGACGTTCATCCCTTGTTACTTACCTCTCAATCTGACGCTGCAAAAGTGCGCTATCCTGGTGAAACAGCTGTGTATAGGTCTAATAACTCTCAACATGGAATGCAATTATTGACTATTCCAGAAAATGACGTTAAGACTATTATTCAATTGTTTCAACACGGATTGAATGAAGGAAATGACTGTTTGGGTTTCAGAGATGCTAACGGCACGTATACTTGGGTATAAATGTTTCTAATTTCTGAGAAATCGTTTATATACTTATTTATTTCTAAAATTTTCTTATTCGTTGAATTCTTTAAAAGCAATCATATCGTAAGTACCTTGATATTAAGATCTTTGAACATATGTCCTATACTAAATCTGTATAGATAATTTTTTTGATTCAAATCCAATCAGGCCAAGTATTTGAGAGAATAACAAATTTTGGATCGGGCTTGATTAAATTTACTGGCTTAACTCCTAAATCACAAGATAAGTTCGGTATTTTCATGAAAAATTGTCCAGGTATTAACTGTTTTGTCGTTAAACCTTCGTGTATCTGAATGATTCATAAGACTTATTCGTGTTGTTTTCAAAACCTTTGTAGAGTGGGTGATTGCAGACTTGGGTAAATTTTAAAAAAGGGTTTATATATCATTATTTTTCACAAAATTATTAGTAAATGATGTATTATCTGTTTTGTAATTGCAAAGCTGCCTGCCATTATAGTTTGATTACAGTAGCACTGCCTAGTATTCATCCTCGTGTCAACGATGTCATCAATCAGATTAATCTTACCGAAATTAGTGCCATCGTGGCATCCAAAGATACTTTGTCCGTTGTATTTTCAGCGGCGCCTTCCTGTAGAGCGTTAAAATACGTCATAATGACGGAATCTAGTTTGTCCAAAGATCAGAATGAAAAAGCTGAGACATTAGGATTAACTCTTACGACATTCAAAGATATCGAAAAATTAGGTTCCACTTCTAAACTGGAATGCGTCGCTGCTGGTAACAATTTTCAAAGACGTTACTCAATCTCAGATAAGACCATACAAAGTTAATTTTTTGGTTCTCATAACGAAAAAAATTATATAAAGACATGTAAATTATATTATAGATTTCTAAAAAAGCCCACCCAGGTAGTAAATATAGTCAAAATTAAATTTGACCTAGCAAAATTATGAGAACCAATTGATTGAATTTGTAATGACCTAACTAGAAAATTTCGCAATTAACTATTATCTTATCAGCACCGGAGGATACGGCGACCATTGTTTTTACAAGTGGAACTACTTCAGGAGTATATATTTCGCCACTGCTGTCAATTCCCTTTCATATTGACATAGTATTCTGATGCTTTTTTTTTTTTGCATCAGGGACCGAAGGGAGTCGAACTAAAACATTCTGTAAATTTTGCTTCCTTTATTTTCATAGCTTTAAAACGCGCAAACATTACATTCACATATTCTATATGCATATGTCTGTTAATAGAACCTCGTAGCAAATGTTGGTGGGTGTGAACAGCTAGCTTATTTGAGAAATAAAGTCGATCGTATATTACTTATAAATACCTTCTTTCATAGCTGGAATTCTTTCTGCCATTCATGCTACTCAGAAAATAAAACCTTCGGATAGACATCTATCATATTTGCCTCTCGGTAAGACTATTTATGAAATCATTTGTATTTGTCCTTATATTTTTTTGCAAATGTAATTAACCTTTCTAAATTAGCATATATGTTTGAAAGAATTACGGTCATGGTGTTATTATTTTCGGGCGCATCGATCGCGTTTTATAGTGGAAATATTTCTACCATTCTACAAGATGCAGAGGAAGTTAAGCCAACTATTTTCACCAGGTATATTGTTCGTCAGTTTGATTTTTATAAAATTGTTAGCTAATTATATTTATATATTATATAATATATAGTACTCCCCGCATATTGTCTTGCATTCATGAGAATATTTTGAAATCCTTAGAAAACAAATGGTTTTTTAAAAAAGGATTCAATTCTAAATATAAATATTTAAAAAAGGGAAATCTCGTTACAAATTCAATATGGGATATTTTAGTTTTTAATCAAGTGAAGGCCAAATTTGGAGGCCAAGTTCGCGTTATCGTTACTGGATCTGGTATGATCGTATTTTATTTTTCAGTTTTCTTAAAAGAGATTAATCAGAATTGTTTGTAGGTCCAATTACGCAAACCATACTCGATTTTTTTCGAATTACTGTCGGATGTCAAGTCATTCAAGCTTATGGCCTTACGCAATGCAGTGGCTCAGTAACGATGAATGCGTTTTATGATTACTATTCAATTGATCAAAATGGCCATGACTCACAAACGGGCGGTCCACTTGCTTGCAATGAAATCAAATTAATAAATTACGAGGAGAGAGGTTACACCGTCGAAGATGTACCTAATCCCAGAGGCGAGGTATGAATTAATTATTACCATGGTATTGTTTATTTTGTATATTGTGTTTTAATTTAGTATTTGTGAATTCAGATTTGTGTACGAGGCCCCAATGTTATGAAAGGTTATTACAATTTACCCGACGAAACATCTCGTGTTATTGACTCAGATGGATGGTTTCACACTGGTGATATTGGAATGATCTTACCAAATGGGACTTTGAAAATCATTGACCAAAAATAAGATTTCATTACTTTTCCATCCCAACTTACGCTTAAAAATTTATTCTGAAAAATTGACAATTCATATTTGAGTATTTAAGATTCTGATTTATAATTTTTTATATTGTACTGAAATGACGAGTGTATCCCGTATTTATTTGACATTCTAATAAAAAAAAGTTTTTTGGTTAATTTGTTATTTACATTTATATCAACAAATAACCTATAGTAGTAGAATCAAGCCAAAAAAATCAGTAAGAGACGATGAATGCTTCTATTAACGTATAAAGTGGAATAAAATTTTTACTGGTTGACAGAATAAAATGTAATTTATAAAGTATATGAGAATCAGGTCCCGTAAAAATTCAGATACAAGTAAATACAAATTAATACAAATCATCAAAGCAAATTTATAAGAGTAGAATGAACGAGCAAGGGCTAAACAAAAATTGTGTAATTATCCGACAATTTCGAAGTAATTTATATTGCAAATTAACATAAATTTAAAATCTTCAAATTAATACAAATTTTTGCAATAGCACAAATAAAGATTACGGGTTCCTGACGAGAATGTGCTTTATATCATTTGCGGACATGCAAACAATCAGGTCACTATTATTCTCTTGTAATATCCTTTGAACAATAAAAATTCTAGTATTGTTTATATAAAAGTTTTATATAATTATTAGAGTTTTTTGGAAAACCTTTCCAATAATTATTTGAATTAAGGTTGCATTAAAAGTAATTTGGAGATTTACAAATTTTAATGAAACATATTTTTGGTTTTATAAAGTTTAATATGTAAACTATTAAAGAGCAGCTGTAATCAGATAGTTTATATATTAAGTTTTTTTTCCGTAGTATCTAAATCAGAAGAGTATTCTAAAACGGATAATGATTAATTAACTGTTAATCAAGAATATATAATATAAAAATAAATAAATAAATAAACAATTAAAAAAATCTTTTTTAATTTAGACTTTTGTAATAAACTAATATATATGAGCTAGGTTACAAAAAAGGGGGAAATTGACAAACTTTTTAAAGCTCATTTTTTTATATAAATTAATTTAAAATACAATCAGGATCATTTTTTACTTAAAACTCGAAATTAGTTTTATTAATAAAAGTTTGCAGTATAGTTTTTCAAAATTTATAATTTCTTATAGTTTATAATAAAATTTATAACATAAAAATAGATTTTCTGAAGATTTTTTTTAATGTTAAAGGTAGAGTATACATAAATCACTTGTCATATAACTTTAATTATAAATTTTTTTATTTTAGTATTTAAAAATATTTTTACTAACTTAACTGTTTTTAAACTTTTAAGCAAAGTTGTAAAGTAGATTTTTATAATTCTAATGATAGTAGAATTATTAAATTCATATTAAAATTTATTGAGATGGGTTTATTTAAAGATTTGGTATTATAAATCTATTATAAAAATTATATAATAATCATATAATAATTAACTAATCAGAATGCTATTATCAAGGATTTGGATTTATCATTAAGACTTTTATAATATATACAAGTATAGTTCTTTTAAAATAATATATATTATAATTTTTATTATAATAAATAAACTATATTAATTTATATATTCTAAAAATTTAATAAAATTTTTAGTATGATTTTAAAAAATTTTATTAGTATTATATTTTTATTGAATAAATGTACTTGTAACATTTTGTTACATAACTTAAATGTAATAATTTTTTTTTAATTTTTTTATAATAAAAAATTATATATATATATATATATATATATATATTTTATTTTTTTTTTAATATAAGCAGTCATGCTAGTATTTTATTAAAATTTTGAAATTACATTTGTAATTACATAAATATCTCTAATATCTAAGTCTAGCATCACTCAGCCACCTTAATGATACCTAAGTGTAACTTGTCACATTACTTTAAACAGAAGTAAGTTGCTCATTTAATTACTTAAAGTTTATAATAAAAGAGTTTTCTTCTTTCTATAACAAGCTTCAATATTGGTTTTATTACTTCTTTTTCAACTTACTTTTCTTTTTTTCTCACTTTTTCTTTTTCTTCTTCTATTCTTTACTGATTTACCTTTTTTTTTTACTTGGTTTCTTTAGCTTTTCTTCTCTTTCTTTTTTTACTCTATTTATTATTCTAATTTTTTTTCTCATTCATTAATTTTTTTGCATTATATTCTTTATATTTGTTTGTAAAATATATCTTACAAACTGCTATCTTGATTTTGTATTTAAAAGCTATAATAATCTGTTTTGTATTTCTTTTAGAATTAGACCTTTAATTAATATTTCTCTTATTTTTACTTCTTCTAGTTCTGTTTTTTTGAAAGTATTATATATAACATATATAGAGAAATTTAGATTTTTTTTTTTTCTTTTAATCTCTTTTATGCTATTGTGATAGTTACTTTTTAAATTCTTTTCTAAAGATTTTTCCGTTCTTTATATGCTGCCAAGTGTGTCTGTGTTTCTTTAACTTTATCTTGGTATACTTGGTATTTTATTATTATATATATATAATTGGCCTTCTTCTGTTAAGTTCTTCTAAAGTTAGAAGTTTATTTATTATATATTTAATAAATGCACTTTTTTTGAAGCAGCTTTTTATTATACAATGTATTTCTTTAGTCATCTTTAAAGGTAGAAATGATATAGATCATTTTTATTAGTAATTTTATAGCAAATCATATGATATCATATGATTTATATATAAAATTTTGGTTATATTACATAAATATTTTATATAAATCTTGTGTATCCTAGAAAACTCATAAGCTGACTTAGACAAACTTAGTAATATATAAAGTATTTTTTTTAAATAAAATAAATTATAAAATTTTATCAAAATAATTAGAAGATATAGATTTATATACTATTAAATTTTGGTAACAATTGAATATAATACTGAAAAGTTTTATTAGTAATATATATTTTTTTTATATATAAAACTTTATTTGCTAGAAAAATTATATGACAAATGATCTATAATATCCTTACCCTTAATCTTTTTCAAAAATGCATCCAATAATAATTATAATTTCTATTTCTGGTTCTAAATCTTTAATTGCTCTTGTTTTTTTTTTATTTTGCTCATATTTTTATATTTATTACTAATTTGCAAAGTAGTTTTGATAGTATATTAGTTCATCTGTTTTTTTATTCTAAGCAGTACTTTATCTTTTTATAACTGACTTTTTTAGCCTGTATTATTTTTCTACTTATTGTTTCTTTTTTTACTAAGCTATTAGCTTTATTATTTCATTTATCTTTGTTATAACTTTTTACTTTAACTAACTCTATTTGAATGTTTTTCATCTTAACAAGCTCTTTAATTTTTATTATTCATATTGTATTCTTCTTTTTAATAATCTTATTTCTGTTTGCTTGTTTCAAACTTCTAATATTTCTTATTGCAGCATTGCTATTTGTATATATCTTTATATTTCTTTTTTGATATCATTAAAATTGCTATCCAAATTGCTATTAACTTTGGTATTATTGATGTCTGCTATCCTTCTAGTGCAAGTACTATCTCTTTTTCTAACTATTTTTATATTTTGTTTATTTAAACTTATCTTATACCTATATTATTTTTAGATACTAATTCTTTACTAGCTTTTGCATTAGTTGTTATGTCCATATATATTATATATTTTTTCTTATTTCTTATAATATTTCTTTTTAAAACTTTTATTATTTCTTGACTAATATTTTCTTTTAGTTTCTGTTATTTAATTTTTTTTTTTTTATAGTTAAAGTCTCTATCTTGGGGATGCGATATTTTATTCAAGTTTTGTTAAAAAACAGAAGCCTTCAAGAGCTTTCTTACATTGGAGGTTACAACTAGCTACATGTGCACTTTTGGTGCCTAATTTAAGTAGTCTGTTTATACATTGCTATATAAGTTTTACATTAGTTGCCATACCTGCAAGCCAACTAGGGGTCTTGCTTATTTAAACTTTCTACATATGCAATTCTCTTTGTATCACAAGAACATCTCAAGGCTACATCTATCCAAGTTCCTGATGCTTATTGTTACCTTTAGGACTACTTTATCCTTGATAAAAAACTTACTAGAGCCTTTATATTCCACACATATAGACCTAGTTTTATGCAACATGCTATAGTTATCTAACACTTGCAGTTATAGGGGTTACCTGTTTAACTACTATGTTACACTATTTCTATTCTTGTAAAGTTCACTAGAACCCTAGTACCTATCTTCCTAGCATTTTCTTCATCATTTCCTACTAGTTGCAACTCAGAATTGTCAGTTTTATTCTAAACTACCAATTCAGATAGCTTAGTATGGTATACTTATATACCCTTTTTCTTTGGCGAATCTGGTGGCCTAGTTGGTTATATGCTCCTCTACACATATTTAATGTTTGGTTTTAATCTTTAGTTTCTATGAAGGTGTTTCATGGGCTTTAACTGGTCTGATGGTACTATCAAATGTTTATGCTATCTCTTTACTTAGAAATTTCCAAATAGGTTTTTGTTATCTTGGTTCCTTAGTCTTCTACATCCAATAGTCTTATCGTGGGTTTGCACTGAAGTCTTATGCAATACCAGTTATACATTTCTTTATATACATGTAACATTACACTTCATATAGATGCCCAAGCTTCCAATATCAGTAGGACCTAACTTGATGTACTTGGGTAACAGCTACATAAGGCTAACTGATCAACAGAAGACAGTTATTATAACACAAATATAATTTTTAAATTTCATTGTAAGTAGGATTTGAACTTTAGACCTGCCATTTGGAGGATGACAACCCAACCACTACACTAGGATTGCCATCCTTTGTTTCTGTCATTTAATAATCTCTATCTCTAACTCTTCTATTACTATAAGATCTTTAAGCTTTTACTTTTTAATTTCTAGTCTGTTTTTTTTTTTATCTTGTTAGTTATTTGGTCTATTACTATCTTGATTTAGTTGCTACCCTTTCTTATTAATGCATCTAAGATTATATTAATGTTTTTGCTTACTTTTATCTATTGCTAACAATTATTCTCTATCTGTTTTTCTTTTCTTATATATTCTTGTATTATTAATCTTAGTTACTAATTTATTTTCTTTGCTTTGTATTTATTAGTATTCAATTAGTACTTGTTTTTTCTTCTTTTTAATTACCTTTTTTTAGCTATCTGTAATTTTGTACACTATATATTACCTATTCTTTCTTTCTTTTATCTTTTTTTTTTTTTAAA